GACCATCTTTCGGATTGTTGATAATTCCGAAGGCTCAAATAATAACACACACTCTTCCTATAAATAAACAAATTCACTATCGGATTCATCTCTTCTTCACATGATCACTGTATATTGTATAACAATATATCTCATACCTCAAATTCTTCGTCATCGGTTTCTGATTCAAAATATGATATTCTCTGAATGGGCACACAAAATAAATTCATAAAGTTTTGTAAATAAAAACAACAATATCTGATAGTGTTGTTACCTTTTTTGCCCGTCTTTGAGTTTGACCTCCACAATTGTCCTAAGGTGTTAAATTTAAATTATTCGCTCTGCTGATTTCAAACCTCTAGTTAGAAAAATGTGAATAGATACCTCTCCTTGTTCTTCTCTGAGTATATTTGTATTCGCACTGAAAGTTTTGGTGTTGATTGTCCCTCCATAAATAGTTCCAGTGTTGAAATTTCCGTATATCGGTTGATGAACATGAATTTGCTTTCGTGAGCGCTCTTGTTCCCATTGTCTCGCCGTTAAACGATCAGGTCGAGGATCCTGGCATTGAAGACTCAGGAAGTTAATAATACTCTTAGTACGCCAATTCACTATCCTATTGTATTTTCCATCCCATCTGAATATCAGGCAACCTAATAAGCCACCTGTATCCAGTGGGTCCAGTGTTGGTTAAGCTAGTAGCCTTTTGACATCAAGCAACCTAGTAAGTTCCCTGTGCTCCAACACTGGTCTTATGGCTCAGCTAATAGCCTTGAATGACTGACAACCTAGTAAGTCTCAGCCACGCCATTTTTTTCACCTGTGTTTCAATAAAAAAAGTCTACTTGCATTTCTGTATCTATCGATAAGCTCCTGTGCTTTTTTCTGCCGGTTACCTTGTTCACGATTAACCATTGTCTCTAGGCATTTTAAATAATAGTCTATCTTGATATCGAATGGCTCCACATCACAATAGTTTAAAAATCCCAGAATGTTCCACTCAGAGTGCCTACGATTAAAATATTCATACGCTTGGTTTTCTGACATTATGAGCTGAAAAAAAAAAGACGTTTGTAAAACAACGATAATAATGGAGTATGGATATTTATCCTGTTGTACTACTTTTGTTTCATGAGTTCATCGATTTTTAACAGCTGCCCTACCTTGTTTAAAACGTCGGGAGTGCGTCAAGTGTAACCTGAGTTTGCATAAGGAGAGCATCTTCCTGCGTTGCGAATACAAAGTAAAATTTCCAATTATATAAATTTTACTTTGTATTCGCAACGCAGGAAGATGCTCTCCTTATGCAAAATCAGGTTACACTTGACGCACTCCCGACGTTTTCATATGGGCGAATCGGCGGAATTGGACCTTAGCTAGAGACACCAAATTTTAATTTAAACCTCATATTTTCTCATGTTTAATTGGGTAAATGTACAAAACAATTATTCAATAACACCCTAATAATTTAGAACTATACTATAAATAATGGATATAATGATTATGCGAAACTATGCGTCAAACCCATCGACCCGACCGCCGCCTCCGGTGTACAGGGAAACACGACCGAGAATCTTTCCGATCACGCCCGTCCCACTTAAAGGGTAACACACCCATACGAATGAGCGATTTACCAAAATCGGCAATCCTATATCAGAATGATAGCTACCAAAATTAGCAACCAACTCATAGTATTATAGTATCTTAGCATCATATTTATCATAGTTATAAGTCATAATATTTACTACTTTTAAAAATAGTCTAGTGATAAAAATAGAAAAATAACAACATATTTTCAGTAGAATAGCCTTCTTGAATGTATAAAAGCACAAGCTTTTCACCTTTTATCTTTAGAAGTGTTAAGTGTTGAGATGACTTAACATACTCAAACAACCACCCTTATGACTTTATAGTTTTAAGGAAAAACCTAGGCCATTGGCGCCTTACGCCCAACATGGCAATAACCCTTTAACAAAAGTTAAAAAGCTAACTCACCATTAGTACCCAACGAGGCCATAACCCAAATAACTTTATGATGGCACTCAAACTCGTAAATTAATGAACAATAATAACTCTTAGCGCCCAACATGCGCAAGAACAATACTTAATGATATATATAACACATATTATTATCAAATAATATAAATACCTTCATGTAATAATCTAGAAACGTTAACAACTCAAACATTTAATAACGTTAACAACTTAAACATTTAATAAACTGACCTTTTAAAGTTTAAAATTTAATCGTGCAATATAATCCTTCTATACAAATAAATTCCTTCAACACATAAAATAATAAACAATCCTATAAAAGAAAAACCCCTAACTAAAAAACTGTTGACGCCCACAACAGTACACGCTAGATACTGAGCCTGAAAGACGGCAAGAAGTATAACAACAAGTAAAACCTCAGAGAACTTATCCAACTATGCAATAAGTAGAACTAGCCAACCTACGACATAAAGCAAGAACACCATTCCACTTGCAACATATAATAAATCCGTAATAAAGAAAGAAGAAACATAATCATTGCGCCCAACTGAAAAAACAAACAACTGATGGCAAAATTAAATAATCAAAATTAACTATACTATTAGGACAAAGCAAAACGCATAGATCAGACAGAGCTTAATCAACTCTTGAAACCATAGTGAGAAAAATTCAAATCTACCGGATAGATACGAATAATCGAATCTGACACCAAAGTGAAAAATAAGGCTGAAAAGGCTAACACGAAACCT